GAAACAAAACACTTGGTTGATGGATTCACTATCAAGGAGGTAGGTCACCGGAAAGACCAATGATCAAATGACTCTCTCCTGAAACACCAATTAGAGTCCTAGGGATATTCATTTCAGCGCTAGGCAAACCAACTTCCAATAATGTTGTGATCATACAACATGCACATTTAAAACTAAAATTATAGAAGGACAAACACACCTCGTTACTGGGTAGAACACTAGGTATTAAGAATGTGGTTCTTACCTCAATTTGATATAAATTTGTTATTTGGGTTCTGGATAAAGTAACCATAAAAGTATTACAAAGACAATTAGCATCCTTCCTTTGGCGTCGTAATCATGAATGTGAAAATGTCATTAGTAGGGTGGCATGGTTATCTATTATCCAACCCAAATCTAAAGGTGGTCTAGGCGTTATTGATCCCAACACCCAAGCGATGATTTTGTTCATACAGTGGCTTAAACCACTAGCACCTTTGCCACTTGGGAAAATAGCGGGTCTCGGATGGGCCTCCGACCTTTTCGGATGGCCGAAACGAAACGACCCCCGCCGATCAGATTTATCAATGGCAGCCACTGTCGGGTCCGCCCTCCGAATTTTCAGGAGTTTGAAAAAACAGCCACTTTTTCCTAATTTCCCAACACTCGCGGAGGTACTAGTGGTTTAAGCGCCTCCTATTCAATCCCCAGACCCCTTGGAGCAAGTTGGCCTATGAACAAATAAGAAGACTAGCTCCCCCCACTGCAGAGGTAGCTGACCCCTTAATGTGGCTGATAATCGATTTTGGTCACTCCCGAAGGGCACTTCAACAGTACTCCAAAATATGGAACTCTCTGACCGCCAAGCCGCCAGGGTTGATCTAGCTAGAGATCCGTTTTGGATTGATCTGTTAAAAACATGGAGGAAATTACCTCTCACAGATAACACGACACTTGAAAGATGGAAAAAGGTATGTCAACAACCACTATTCAACAACACACCGATCAGAGACTCCCAAGGCTATACCCTTAATTGTTCAGATTCACCTTGGAAAGGGTGGATCAAAAATGAAATTACACGCATCAGGGACATATGGAACACTGTGGACAGAGACTGGATAGACCCATCGATTCTTCATGGAAGACTAAGATACTGCCACCATCAGAAAGAAGCCCTGGAACAAATAATTGACATAGTTCCCTTGGAATGGGTCAGAATTCTGAGAAAGGATCCACTCTTACCCCAAGCGATTGGGTGTCCATATCTGATCAACGAGGATTGGTGGGAAATATAGTTGAAGTCCGCACTACATGAGATATTTTGATGTTTATATTTGATCTGGGAGAGGATGAATACCTGAAGTCAAGACCACAACAACAAACCGGATGGTTCAAGAAGGACATACTATTTAGGATCAGGGTCCTAACGATCAAGGAAAAATGGTTGGCCTATAAACCGGACACTCTCATTTCCGACCTCCCCTTAGATCCAGTATGCTATTCCTGGTCTTCTGCGACAGCCACAGGACGTTCTCACACCAAAATGCTTCACACACTGTTAGTCAAGTCCACTTACAAGATGCTTCGTCCCAAGGTAAATATAAAGGATAAAATAGAAGACCGGTGGATGAAACATCAAATGTAAGCAAAGAAGAGTTGCGACCAGTCGAGTGGTTTCATTCCATCAATTCTAAGCCTGCCAAAATGGCATCGCTATAGTGGCAAATCACTCATCGCTGCTTACCCACTAATGACTGGATTATTGACAGAAAACAAAAAGGAATAGCCCTACCCTGATGTAAGTTCTACAAATCAGCCTTCCCTTCCAAACTAATCCCGGAAACTATAGAACATATTTTTTTGCAAGGTCCAAGTTCTGTATGGCTATGGCGCTGGTGGAACAAGATTTGGAACCATGTAGAAACATCCCTCCCCTGGCGATGAAATTGAAAAGCTCTTCTCCTCGAGACCTGAAACCCGATCCAAGTGGATAACTTCACATCCAATCTATTTACAATCGGAAGAAGAGCGGTCATTTGGGGATTATGGATTCGTAGGTGTACTTATGAGATGGAAGGCACTAGGCTTGATGATCCCGAAAACAAAAACCATTAAGCATCAAATCCAAGTAGAAATTACTACCAGATGGGAGTCCCTAAAGGAAAAAATCAAATTTCTGAATTCATAAAATGACGTTAAGCAACACAACAAGACATTTAATCAGAACTGGCTTTGAGGGGACCAAGGAGGGAAGTTGGGGCAGGTGAAATGAGAAGTAATACAAAAGAGTGCTTAGGTGATGTTCCCAATAAATTACCGCTTACTCTTTAATGATTGGAGTAACACTGACTCCATCATCCAAATGAGATCACTATCAGAATTTCCGTACCTTTTCCTCCTTCTGGACTACGTGTAGTTCTCAAGTCATGGTATGTGCCTGACTCATAATAAGTACCAGTGTTCATTTTAGTGCTCCTTTTGAAGGGCTTGCTCTCACTCTTTAAACTCTCACTCAGATAAGTAGGCGGAGTGCTAGGTGGGCATGCGTATCTCGCGCCCGTTTCAGAGTGAAGAGGCACATGAGCCAAACCTCCTTATCCTTTCATATCTCTTCCTATCTTTATACTCACTATCATCTAATCAGAAGGGGCGCTGGGACCGGTTCCCAGCATGAGCAAAAAAAAAAAAAAAAAAAAAAGGAGAGGATGGAGGCGGAGTAATGAAGCAGGAGTCATGAGGGAAGGGAGGACAGTGAGGGAGAAGAGTTAAAGATGGTGACGTGAGTCTTTTTTTGCCACATTTCCACATTTTTCACCAAACGTCAGAAGTGCGTCAAGCTGCGAGGCTGTTGAAGGGAGATGACCACACACACACACACACACACACACACAAAGAGAGA